TTCAATCTTGAATTTAAAGATTATGAAGCTGGAAAAAAAATAATAAAAGTTTGAGAAGGAAGATAGAAGGAAATTAACAGGAAGGAAGATGGATGAAGTCATTCTAAAAAAGTGTTATTTTTGTTTAATTTGATACTGTGACGTGTTCCTCAAAAAAGTGTTTTAGAAATAAGACAATCTAAAGAGTAATGTTTGTGAAAATTAAAGCGGAGTTAGAACAAGGTTATAATGCAAGGAAAGTTATTTCAGAAGCGTACACATCTTTCGTACTGCAGTGTATTGTCTCTGGGCGGTAATGTAAACACAAGACGGATGTCGAAGCCTGACATGGGATCCATCTTTCACATAAAAAATCGGATACTAAACGAACACTGATGAATCTATTCTTGTTTACAAATTCAGTCCAGAGAGAACTGGTTTCAAGATGTATGCAGAGTATACGCAACTGCAATTAACTTTCCTTGCATTATAACCTTTAGTTAGAAGGAATCTCACAGTGCTGGTGTTGTTTCTGTCAAATGTCTCTGCATATCGTCAGTTTTGACAGCATTTGAAGCTAACCTTATCAAATGTTCTTTAAAAAAAACTACTATAACAATAATAAAAATACTTTTATTAAACTTTTTTGTTTTGTTTCGTAATGTAGAAATCGAATAAAAAAGAGAAACAATGAGAGTAAACTGCATTTCCGGTCTTTTAAAATCAACAATGTTTGGTTTTGGAAGAATTTTAAAAGGACTGTAAGTGTAATTTTAAATGACCCTCCATGTAAAGATGGCATGTCCGATTTACAACATTATTCTCTAAACCTTCAATAATGTGGAAGATATTGTCGTTTCTTGAAGTTTGAAAGTGCTCATTTCTTTTAATTCAAGTATGTGTTACTGCAGTAAAAGTTCGTATTGTTTTTAAAATTATGATAGCGTGTAGTAAATGATCATTGCCAAATCTCAAGGAACGATCTCAGCCCGTATGTTTCAGCAACGACAAAATTAATCTCAACACTGTAATCAAAGGGGAGTCTCTATATCAACTAATTTATTTTAGAAAATTACTCTCAACACTGTAATCAAACCGGAGTCTCTATATTAACTAATTTATTTTAGATAACTTATGTTACAAGTTAACATGAGTTGACGTAATTACAAGTTCTATGGGGATATATATATACAGTGAGTTTAAGTTTTATAAGATTAGCGAGGATAGATATAACGTAGTTAAGCTATCCACACACATGTAGTTTAAGTTGAATGTATGTATTTAATGGATTACCATGGATAAATATAAAAGTAGCTAATCTAATCACAATGCATGTGTTAATCATGTATATAGGTTCAGGTTAACTGTATTTATTACACGGATAGTAGTGCGTAGTGTGCAGTGCAAGGGCAATTAGAGAGTAAAATGGTTTGCTATGGGCTATGAANGAGAGAATAGGGGTATAAAAAGAAGACGACTGATAAAAGTTATTAGCATATATATTATTCAATGATAAAATCGGAACTTTTGTATGGATATTGTTTATCTTCCACGCTTGAGCTCGATATCAAATGTGGGCATTTATAAATCTGAGTATCATTGCTTGATCCCTTTATAAAATCTATCCCTGAAAGGTATGACCATCACGGGATATCGAAAAGGAATTAAACTATCTGTAGCCAGGTACATGAAGATTCCAAACCTGCAATTTAATTGTTTCTACACTTTGTTATAAAGAAGTAATTGGCAAAATTCTGCAGATTTTTGCATCGAATAATATTTCTAAGCTCAAAGAAAATCCAAATTAGAATCGAATTCCAAAGGGGGGTTGAGCGTGTGGCTAAGTAGTAAATTCTGCATTTCTCTCTATACCAGTATTTACTTAATATACCTTGAGGCATCTGAACTAGCTCTATACAAGTATAAGTTTGCATTCTATACAGTCTCAACGCATTATACTTTCCCCGCAACATTTTATCATTATTATTTATTGTAGTATGGCTGTCAAGCTGCTTTATTATCTATCATTTTATTATTTAAAAAGTTTCTCAGTTTCTGGCTATTACTGCATGAAGAGCTAATTTCGAACTTTGCATATTTTTATAATATTTTGTATGGAATTTTTAAATATCCAAATATTTGAACTATTTTAACTATTTCATCTCATAAAATGTTATTTTTTCATAATTCAACGGAAACCCAAAATTTTCATTCATTGTTAAAAAGTTAAAATGTTATATTAGTATTAAAGCTTTTTTAATCTACAAAGCATGAAGGGCGTATACAGTGGGGGGGGGGGGCGTTGCTCAGAGTTATCACACCTTTAAAATCTGTAACTGAAGAGTGAAGAATAGAAAAAAAAATTAGTTTGCTGTTTTTTCTGCTAGTTTTAGTTTAAAGAACAGATAAAGTAGTACTTGTAAGGTAATTGGACTGTATGTGTACTAATATCTCGATGATGTGTACCTATAAAGTATCTAAGAAGCCAAATGTTTTGAATTTACAGTTCAGTTTGTGCACCCCCCCCCCCCCCCNGGGGGGGGGGGGCAAATTTGACCCCCCTAGATTTATTTCCTAAGAAACGCATAATTTATTTGAACAGTCATTTTTTGAAAATCCTCAAATGAAAACAGTAAAATCTGCGACTGCCTTTTATGTGTTTTTTGTAAAATGCACAAAAGGCTTGCAGAAATGTCAGCAACAAAATAAAATAATTAATTTCTAAAAGGTTTACGGAATTGTTTGCAGTTAGATTTCAACAATTTGTTCTTTTTGAAATGACAAAAAACATTTTCTTTTACTCCCAAATGTTTTTTTTGTTGAGTACATTTTTGGAAATTCTATTGTTTAAAACTTCAAACAAAGAAAATGAGAAAATTGTTTTCTCATTTAGTGTCTTAGCACCAATCCAATCCAATTTCTTTAAAGCCTTTTAAGTTTTAAAATCTATTAGATAATAACAAGAAAGATACATGAACCCATATATCTTTGTATGGAATAGATTGTATGTTATTTATTGAAAATATTTATCGTTTTTTCCAATTCTTCAATAGTTGACTCTTTGTTTAACATTCTCGGACGGAATGAACATGTAAGAAATTGATCATTTTCAGACAACTTTAGTTTTTCTTTTTAAAGTTTAGGATATCATACATTGAGCTCCCACTTTCGGCCCTGACCCCCCCCCCCCCCCCCTGGGACGGGACGGAGAGGAAATACGTCAGGAAACAGAAAATTGAGGTTTCTCTAACTTCTCAGTTCTCCGTTTCCTCTCTCCCTACTCCGGAGTAAACAATCCGTCCTTGCAATAAAAGAGAGACAGAGTCCGGAAAAACAAAACAAAACATGAGTTATCTGATTGTATCGCAAAGCGACTCGACTTATCTCCAAGAAATTTTTTTCTTCATTTTTCATTTTTTCATCTTTTTTCTTTATAAAAGTTGCTGTGAACTTAATTTCAGCGACCCTACGTTTTCAGAGTTGCTTGCCAGATTCACGTTATCTGAACTACTGATTCACGTTATCTGAACTACTGATTCACGTTATCTGAACTAATGATTCACGTTATCTGAACAACTGATCTTATAAAGCGTTGAATTCTGTGAAAAAACTTGTTGTCTCTGCTGTATAACATTAGAACATGTTAATTTTAGAAATTTAGGATATTATTATCATTTGCTCAGACAAAAGTTCAGAGGGTACCAGTTTTAATCTGACAGAGGAACCTCTTAAAATGGAGGCTCTATTAAATCAACGCCGAAGTCTCTTTTTTCTATTTCACTAAATATAGATATTTCAACATTTCCAGTCGTCGTCGCATATATCAATACTATGAAGAGAACTTCCAATTTTGATTTAAGCTTTTAAACAACGTGGATAAACATTAAAGGGAGTGACCGGCTATGTAAGGTAGTTAAACTGAGTATGCAGTATTGTGGAAAACTTCTTTCGGATTCATTTGAGACATATTACACTTTTTTAAGATCTGTTAATACTAAGTTTGAGCGCAAATTCGACGTTCAAAACTCCTACTTTGGGGATGGATACGTTTTCAGAATCGGTTTTTTTAATTATTAAATAATGACGACGAAAAATAAAGTAAAATTTATACAGTAATCTAATTAGATGGTTAGGAACATATTTCTCAAAAGACATTTATCAATAAATCAATGCTAGAATCAATTATTACGTCTTCATCGTTATATTAAATTTCTTATTTTCTTTGAATTTATTCGCAGAAACCAGAATAACGAGAAAATAGAAACAAATAATTGAACAATATTACTTATTTTCGATGATAAGATTAATTTCTATTTTCTTAACCTGTCCCTAAACAACTAATTTGTTTACTGTAGAATTTTTTTTACATTTTATGTCGTCGTTATTTAATAATTAAAAAAAACTAATTCTGAAAACGTATCTAATCCAAAAGTAGGAGTTTTGAACGTCGAATTTGCGTTTAAACTCAGGATTTACAGATCTTTACAAAGTGTAATATGTCTCAAATGAATCCTAAAGAATTTGTCCACAACACTCCATAGTCACTTCAACTACCTTACATAGCCGGTCACTCCCTTTAACATGGAAACAAAGAGAAGCTGTCAATTAAAAAAACTCCTTTTTTAATTACTTGCAAACTTGTTATTCGATAAAAGCTTGTTAACAATTAAAACTTAAAATAAAAAGTCGTCTTCATTGTATTGATATAATCGCCAACCACTGTATGGACATAATTTATTTTTACAGTATTCAACTAAAAATATAATACTGTACTAAATACTGTATAAATATGTACTGTATATATACTGTATATACAGTATATATACTGCATATATACTGTAAAAATACTGTAAATAAATATTAATTATCAAAATCATAATTGATATAATTCCATTTATTAGCTGCTCATAAATTTCATTTGTAAATAATGTAAAAAAAATAAATGATATAGACAAAATCTTATAAACCTGACTATGTTAGATTCGGTAATTACAAATTACTAATTATTTTTTTATTTTCAGAGCTAAAGCGTAATTGAGAAATAAGATTTGAATTATTACTTTCGAGGATACTTAGCTGAACCCTGGTGTCCTAGTTCAGGAGATACCTAGAGCTGAACCCTTGTGTCCTAGTTCAGGAGATATCTACAGCTGAACCCTGATTTCTCAAGTTTAAGAAGATACCTAGAGCTGAATCCTGGTTTCCAAGTTCAGGAGATACATAGAGCTGAATCCTGGTTTCCTATATCAGGAGATTCCTAGAGCTGAATCCTGGTTTCCTAGTTCAGGAGATACCTAGAGCTTAACCCTGGTTTCCTAGTTCAGGAGATACCTAGAGCTGAACCCTGGTTTCCTAGTTCAGGAGATACCTGGAGCTGAACCCTGGTGTCCTAGTTCAAAAGAACTGAACCCAGGTTTTTTAAGTTTAAGTGATACCTAGAGCTGAACCCTAGTTTCTCAAGTTTAAGTGATACCTGGAGCTGAATCCTAGTTTCCTAGTTCAGAAGGATACCAGCACAGAAGCTTCCCCTTGTATCCTGTTTAAGGAATACTAACTAAAACTAAGTAGGCAATCTAAATCTATACCCAGTCTGTACCTAGATAAGATATATGGTGTGAAAACAAAAAGTAAAAACAGAAAAGTGGAGAAGCAATGTTTAACTAAAACAAGTAAGTTTTTTGTTTAGTTTTTATGTATTAAAATCGAACAATTGCCTCAAACTCTAGTTTTCTTTTCCCTTTATAAACCTGAGTATGTTAACCTCTAACATTTTGACCGTTTAATCCATCATAAGAATTTATGTATATAAAGATATTGCCTTCTGACCGCAGTACGAACAAGTTTTTTAAGTCTATTATAATAATAATAATAATAATAATAATAATAATAATAATAATAATAATAATAATAATAATAATAATAATAATAATAATAATAATAATAACTAATAAAAATAATGATAATTATCAACGAAAGTTCAAAGAGTGAATCAATGGCCCAATCTTATGTCCCATGGAACGTTACGTTGATATCGATATCTGTCTCAAAGACAAGGAGTAACACTCTGTACTATCAACGCCAACCTGGAACAATATCGTTTACTCTATTTATTCCAAAAGAAAATTATCCATAATATCGGATATTCTGATTATCCAAATAAATTAAACTTAATTCTTACACTAAGGGGAGTATTTTTTCAAGGATCATGCATGGAAAATTATTAAATCAAATCAAATAAGTAATAATACAGTTAATTAGTATATTAAATTTATGCAAAACTACTGCAGGAGAGCTTTGATAGCTCAGAGCTGTTATTAAAAGCTCTTCTTCGATCCTTAAGTTAAATAATTTTTTGACAAAGGTTAGAGATAGCTAGTAGAGTAGGGCGGTAAACCGGTAAATGCCGCAACAAGGGCAGCCAAAGTACATTTGAATTTCCGAGCCGGGTCAACCTATCCGGTCCCAGTTTGTACTTTACCTAGCTCTATGGACAGGACTAGCCGGTGCATCAAGGTTGAAGCGGTCAGACTTTATGCGTCATATAGGTTGAATTTACTTTTACTAAAGGGGCAGAGGTGCGTGGCAAGTTATTTCAGTGTGAAACTTGATCTCCATTCCCATGTCCATGATTACCATTAAGACGAAAAATGTAAAAAACAAAAAATTTGGCGCTTCGCGCAGATAATCTTACTCAATCAACATATAACAAAATAACATAGATAAATTTTACCAAAAATCGATTTTTTAATGCAGTAACGTAGTAGCATTTTATGTCAAATTAGATATAAAGATATAAAAATAAAATGTTAAAGATTACTAGATTATTATGAATTAAATGTTAAAAAGTAACACATATCTCCTTATAAACATAGTAAAATTAACATATATTATAGGTAGCAA